AATGAGAGGTTCAAGACCTTGGGCGAGGTGAATGAAAAGTTCAAGGTATTGTTGGGGTTCACGGACATGTCTGACAAAGATATTGTCGATCACTGCCAAACCCTCAGCAACACGCTTACTCATGGGGGAAACTCAGACATTGATGGAAGGGAACTGGCCATGGAGCTGCAGTGTCTCCCAGATTTGCCTTCCAAGAGAATGACAATGGATTTTCTCACCTTCGTGCACGAAAAGAAACTTACTGAAGTATTCCCGAACTTGTGGGTAGCTCTGCGGATCTGTGCAACTCTCCCTGTAACGGTGTCGGCAGCAGAGCGGAGCTTTTCTAAGTTAAAACTGATAAAAATTATTTGCGATCCACAATGGCGCAGGAACATCTTAGTGAGTTGGCCATCATCAGTGTGAACATTGCAGTGTCTAGACTCTCTAGTTATCGTATGACGATGTAATCGAAGAATTCGCTTCCAGGAAGACAAGAAGAATCAAGTTAACGGTTATAAGCAGGCACGTAGCGAAAACGAGAAAACGGCGGAATCCAGAATGTCATGACATGTTAATTGAATTGCTAAATGTTTAAACACAATAGTAGTTTGATTTTGAGTGTTTCTTTACAGTCACTTTTCATGCCATTATTGTATGTTGCTTGTATTGTGCTTAAGAGTATTTGCTAATTAATGTATGTATTAGCAAATTAAAATAGATCAGTGTAAGGTAAACAGTTTCTTCAATATGGTACCTGGATTACTTTGTGGGCAAACCCAATCGTGAAGTGGGAGGCGGGTGGAGATGCCAGCTGTAGTCCTGCTAAGGGCGCCAAATAGGCTGGCGCCGGCCCTGGCAGAAACAATGACTGGTGAGGCACAGTTGATTTTTAGACATCCAAAGGAGATTGAGCAATGGTATCAATGGGAATGCATACAACTGTATAAATCAATAAATATTCTCACCTACCTGCACATTCCACAAGGAATAATTTCTTCATCTACTGGGTGATTGCGGAAGGTCTCGTAAAAATCATCAGCCACTGCTAAAGCGGCCCTCAAGTTTTCGGTCTTTTATATCTCTGTTTTTATATTTCTGAAAGAAAGAGAAGAAATTAATGCTGTATAGCAATAGCAACAGCATTGGCTTTTATAATGCTTTCATCACCAATGCCTATGAGCAAAGGGGATGCAGAACAGACTAATATCATTTACTGTACATATATGCATCACAAAATAAATATATGACGGTTTTGTAGTATTTTACAATACAGCAATATTTAAAGGGCCTGTAGACAGTTTTAAAAAATGTAAATTTGCCATTAAAAATTGAGTACAGAAACATGGTTATACTTTACGATGCTGTTGTGCACTTACATCAGTAGATCGAAAACAAACAAACAAAACATTTTTTGAAGTAGGCCTTAAATACTGTAGGCTACAGTCATATCTGCAAAAAAATTATTATATGATAATATATATAGATATGAGGATTTGTATGCTTCTGACAAGTCTTTTGAGGTGACCCTTCAAAAATTGAACAGACCTGTTTGAAACTTGTCTTGCCAGGTGTGTGGGGGAACCAGCCCCAGACTTGCCCATTTTTCTTGGTGCACGTCGTGGTCGTAAAATGTTGCTATATAGAGTTATATGCTGCATAGCTTGGGTCTAGGACAATTGCCCCCCCCTTGCCAGTGAGTAACTGGCAAAAAACATGGAAATAACCTAACTAACTTGAAATAGCCTAGCCTTACCTAACAAAATATTAAATATGACCGATCTACAATTTTTTTTCACTTGACCATAAATTATGAGTCGTCATTTTGTGTATATAATTATAAAAAAAAAAACATGAAAATATAGCACTATATCTTAGTGTTTCATGATTGTGTCAGTTATTCACTGGCAAGGAAGGGGGGGGGGATAATTGTCCAGAGGGCAGTTGTCCTATGGGGGGGCAATTCTTCCGAAACCATATAGCTTGTATATAGTCAGGGTAAAAATTGGCATTCCAGATTTCAAACAAGAGAACCTAAAAGTATGGCAGAGGCACCTATTTACTGTTATACCCTCCATACCAGTACCTTCCTTATGAATTCACATTTTTATGAGATAACTCTTAAGAGAACAAATCAATCAATAGGCATATAGATATTATGAAAGTAGACATTAAAAACCCATTTAATTTTATATACAACTCAAAGATATGAAGGAAGGGAAAATGGAGAGGTGAGATGGGAGCTTTCCTTCTGTCTACTTTGGTAGGAGGTGAGCTTCCTCACATGACCCGTCACTTAAATACTCTAATCCTACTTAATTTAGTAACCTAATGGAAAAACACCGTACATTAATAAGCATATACAGTACTCTACTTACTTTCTTTTTAAGTGTCCGTAGCTCCTCTTGAGCTGCTTGGCTGTGATAGGGAGTTGGTCAGAGTTGCTGGCGTTGAATGAGGCAGCAATTTCACCCCAGGCCTCTCTTTTCCGCATTTATTATGTTGCTAGTAGACCTGCTATGCGCTGGGTAACAGATGCTTGGTCACGGTCACCTACGACGAGGCGAAACACGCCTGTTGGACGACGGCTTGTGTTCCCAGAGAAGCGTGCGCCGACGAGTCGGCATGCCGCTCATTATCTGGTGTGAAGTTTGAGTGGGGCAGTATATCTATCAAATGTTAACGCAGGTGTCCCAAGACTAGCTCAACCTTTATCATTTGTGGGGACATGGGCTCAAGCTAGTGAGCGCCAGCGTCGCCCAATGACTATTTCTGCATTTTTCACGGGTGGGACCCACTATCATCAATTGTTAGGTGAGGATAGAATGGGTCACCCTGTTTGCTTCGAGTTTGTGGCAAAAACTATTCTTAGTTTGGTCGAGTACTAGAATGAGACATGCACCCCGGTCATGTTGAACCACGAGCTGTTATCGCATTGACTGGTGGAATAAATCTCGGTCAAGACACGATGGGCCACTGCATTGAAGGCTGCAGCATATGCTGTGACGGAAACTGTAATGGCTACGTGCACGCCCAGAGAAAAACTGCTGCAACGTGTTCGCCCAGAGAAAAGTGGCGACGTGGGCGCCCAGAGGCGCGTGGTGACGTGGGCGCCCAGAGAGGAGTGGCGACGTGGGCGCCCAGAGAGGCGTGGCGACGTGGGCGCACAGAGAAGCTTTGCGGGGCATGTACAGTATGTGTGTGTATATATATATACATATATATATACAGGTATATATAAATATGTTTGTGTAATAAATGTATGTAGTAAGTACCGGAGAACATTCCTTTGTCGCAAAACAGTTTATAAATTAAAGAAAATAATTACAGTGTGTTTAATATATTACAGTATATTATAAATAAACAAATAATTCGGTAAATCTATTTCAAGTAAATGGAAAATAAGCAAACAAATGTTATTTACCAAGACACTTCCCTCTGGCTCAGGGTAAGATGTAGGGGTAGATAACAAGGCTATTTATAGCCCGTCTTTGTGTCTGAGGTGGCCAGTACCCTAATGCACCATAAATAATTCATTGAACATTCATTTTTTGTACATAGTATATTCAGGTGCGAAGCAAGCGTATAAATGAAAGAAAATACTTGCAGTGTGTTACAGTATATTATAAATAAATAAATAAACAAATAAATCGGTAAATCTATTTCAAGTAAATGGAAAAATTTTACTCGGCACCGACATTAGTTCCAGTTACCGGTAAATAGCAGACGCTTCAGTGTTTACACTACACCAGCGGGTAATATTTGATGACATTACTTGAAGTGAATTGGCCTTATTTTAAAAAACCAAGGAGGGTGTGTAAAGGACTACTGAGTCAGTGGGTAATTGTCACATTTGGGGTTCTGGTCTTATACAGCAAATAGAGCTCAAAAGCTACTTTTTAAATGGAAATTTCGGGGGGCCTTATAGGCCGCGATATACGGTAGTTGCCATTTGCACTGCAGGAGGCACATGCTTTGATTCAATTTCAATCTCCTCGGCAATCTGGTCATTTCCCTCTGATGCATCACATGCAGGTACTTGAAGATGAGCTTAGAGAAGCTAACTAGGCCCTCATCATTGATGATGCTTCCGGTCTTCTATATCTGTTGTTGTTATAGTTCTGAAAGAAACAGAAGAAATTAATGCAACAGCATTGGCTTTTATAATGCTTTCATCACCAATGCAGGGTGGCGGGTGGGGCAAATCTAAAAGTAGCGTCTCGAGCCGGACACTCACCGCGTATATGTGGAAAAAATCCTCGTTAAGTGAAAGTTCAGCTCTGGCGAGGCACCGCGTATATGGTAAAACGTGTTAAGTGAAACCGCGTTAGGCGGGGTAATACTGTAGTAATAAAGAACCGTAAATAAATGCAAAAATTAAAAAAAAATCAAGATTGAGAAACAATATATGTTGAGACCCTGCAATTGTGTGTAAATGAGGTAGAAAGTCAGATCAGCAACCTGGGACATGGTCACAATTTTTGTGATGACATGTGTTCTTTGACTTTTCCATTTTTTATTCACGGTTTCTGTGCTGGTTCATATGTTGGTGGTATTTCCAACAATCCATTTTCAGAGATTGCCTTGTTATAGATGTCCATATCACCACAGAGTCCTCAACACCGGAATTAGTTCTCAAATACATATATCTTCTTTACTAACAATGCATATCAGTCTACACTAAGAAATTGGAATGCAGTACGTAATAAAATTCTCAGTTAAAAAATTATTTGAAAATACCACACTGAAAAATTTAACACAAAACTTGTGTTATATCAATAAGTTCAGTTGTCACAAATTGATTCCGAACTAAAACTCTTTCTAATTAGTTTACAATTAAGGTTACCCTCGCAAAGAGTGAGGATATGGACTGTGAGGGGTTTGACAAAAAGACCCTCCAAGCCTCTGTGGTGGATAGTAATACAGGCAAGTGCCAATAATCTGCCCTCTGCCTCGGAACCAACCCCCCATCCCCGTGTGCCCAGCCATCATAAAATTAAGATGTTATTTTTACTACAACGTAAGTATTGTGTCGGAGTTTGGGGGTCAGCCCAGTCTCTATTTCAATTAATCCCATATGTTCTGTTATTTCGTTTATGCGGACCTCCATGGGTTCAATTGACCGCGTAAATGCAGACTATACTGCACCCCTCAACTCTGGTGACACTCAGAGATGAACACTGCCCACTCAATGTCTGTAAATCAATTGTTAGTTCTTACTTAACTCTTGAAAAAAATCTTTGCAGTTACAAATTATTTGTACTCATTACTGACGACAAAGATTGTACATTACTGTATACTGTGAAATATTATTATGTTTAATTAACTTAGGCTGGTTAAGTTAGGTTAGTAAAATTAGTTGGAACCCACCCACAACAACTTGCTTTACTTGCTGTATTAACTACTATACTACTACTACTACCACTACTATATCCTATATATACTACTCCTGTATATTTATACTGTCACTACAACTAATATTAAATTTACTCGAAGACCAATCTGTCCACTAAGTACTCACGAGCCCTCCTTCACACAGTCAGCCAGGCCCCACACACACCCTTCACGGTGTTGAGTAGTTTATGGGATGACCATAATAGCCAAGATATATATAAGTAACTTAACTCATGAGGCTGAAGTAACATGCTGGGTGTTAAATGTTGCTCAAGGTTCTGTCACTTCTCCATTGGCCTTCACACACATCAGCTGTCACCTGCAACATGTTTAAAGTTGCCATTTATGTTGAATGAATGTTAAACATACAATATCCATCTACCACTAGACAACATGATGAATTTATGATCAGTTAACGTAAGTTGGAATAGTTTATCTTAGGTTAGGTTATGGTTAGTAAAGTTAGTTGAAACCCACCCACAACAACTTGCTTAATTTACTATGTTTACTACTACTACTAATTTTCACTAATAATCAATAGGCATACAGTTCTGTATATTTATACTGTCACTACAGCTAATATTAATTTTACTCTAATATCAGTCTGTCTACAGATCGTCCTCCATAGCCCTCCAACACAGTCCTCCAAGAGTGTCCGCCAGGCCCCACACACTGATCACTAGGTCTACACACAGACCTATTAGGCGCCCCCACCCCCCCACACACACACACCCTCCACTGCCCAGTGTAGGAGCATTGTCGAGTGGTTTATTGGATAAAGATACTAGCTAAGATATACTGTACAAGTAACTTAACTGATGAGGCTGAAGTAACATGCTGTTAAATCTTGCTCAAGGTTCTGTCACTTCTCCATTGGCCTTCACGTACATCAGCAGTTACCTGCAACGTGTTTAAAGTTGTAATTTACGTACAATGAAAATTAAACTTGCTAATACACAAGGTTTATTACAGCTGACTAGACCTTCCCTCCCTCATGCCCCCTTAATTGTCAACACCCCGCACCCTCACAAAACATTAAACAACACCACAGGAAGCAACATCCACCAAACATTAAATGACACCATAGCAAGCTACGCACACCCACACCTTCATACAAAACGTTAAAATTGATCTGAAGGAACACCGTTGTGTATTGTGAGAAGCTTCACTCGTGGTCTGTTGTCCCCACATACTGCACCACACTTCACTTGTGTCCTCATACTGCACCACACTGACTGTGAGGGGGCGGGTTCTTGGGCTGCCACCAATGTGAGGGGGCCGGTTCCCTCTCTTTTTCTACACCTCCCTCATCTTACTTACTTCTCTTAGTTCTTACTCTTACTCAGTTCTGTCACCTATTCTAGGGTAGCATGGACATTCTTTTGGTAGCATGGTCGAGGTTCTAGGCACGTGAGTATGGTAATCTTGGTATCACGTCACTTGGGTGGAAATAAAGGTAAAATACTGTGGGAGAAATGAATACACCTAAAATACTCTAAAAACAAGTTTATTAACGTGCAATCAATGGGAAAAGATATTGTATTAATCATATAATTACCAGGCTCAACTCCTGGGCTTAGTGCAAACTCAGTTCCTTCTTCTTTACTCTTACTCACAACATTACTGGTGGTACATTACATGGCACTCATTGTAGATTATTCAACATATACGTAAACAATGACACTAGTATATACAGGGGTCCACTACCCAACCTGGGATAATTATTTCCATCTAATTATCCCTAACATACATGTTACATGGGGCACATTAATCAGGCCGCATCGGTGCCATCTTCTCATATATGATCCCGGCTGGACATCTAATACATCCGAGGCCGTTGTTGGATGGTAGAGCGATTCAAGAATCACAATGGGATCTGGAAACAACCGGGAATCAGCATCAGGGGACACTCTCCCTGGCCATCTTGAGTTTATATACCCGAGTTGCCAGTGATCGCTACTCACGCAATGTCAATAATCACAAACTAACTGTTACTCATTCAAAGATGACCCTCAGTTGACAAAGGTCTGGCGAATTACTAATTCAAGATTGAGCTTCCCAGGAGAGAGTGGAATAAACAACGTATTGATAACTGTCTTCACAAAGGCGGGGCTTACAGGGAGAGATCGCGGGGGTAAACACGCTCCTTCTAGGGGTCGCGGACTCACTCATGTTATGCGGGCGTGGAGTTTAATAAGAATCATTAGTTAAATAGATCAGCAGTCAACGTGACCATGACATGACCACATACTGCACCACACCAATAACAGAGGGTTTTGTACTGTAATTGAATATGTAGTCATTCCTTGATCTGAAAAAGAAAGATTCGCCAACACATTGAAATACGTAGATTGGCTCAGGTTAAATTGATCTTTAGTTGAAATAAGCTGGGGGATGCATATTCAGGCGAGCCAAACATTTTAACATTTTCCAGAGGTTAATTAGATGGTTACTGCCTTATTTACCAATAAATTTTAACGGTGTCTTTATATACAGGAGCTTCGTTAGAGAAGATGTTGCCTGTTGCTTGCTGGTTGAAATAAATGTTAACAGCGTGGAGTTTGCTGGAGGAAGTGTTGCTTGTTCAGGAAGATGGGCAGAATCGCCAGGCAGGCGAAGGGAGCCTGGCAGCGGCGGAGGAGGAGGTGTTGCTTGTTGAAGAAGAATGGTCAGAATCAATCTCAATGGAGAGACAAAGCTTATATACCCAGCAGCAGCCGCCATGAGTCATGTTGGGAAAACCCAGAAAGTCGCCGGTGACTGGTTCCGTTGCTAAGATACGGTAACATCTGGTTGGTTGCTAGGGAAGGCGGCACATTGGAATGCGATACGCAGTTTGTAGGGGAGACGTCCACTACATTAGTTTAGTTTTGGTGCTTTTTGGTTGTACAAATATTCTGAAACCCCTCAACCTCGCCCTCCGCCGGCTCCCTTGCCTCGCCCGGCTCCCTACCTCAACTCGCCTCGCTTCGCTTCCTGTCTGGCTTCTTGCCTGCCTCGCCTAGCATGCCTCGCTTCGCCCGGCTAAAAGCCAGTGAAAAAAATTGTATCGTAATTCCACAGAGTTATATTTTGGTGATGAACGTTAGAAGAAATGCGTAACTATTGAGTTATGACCACCCGGCTCCGCCAAAAGCGGGCTGGGCTTCGAAGCAAGAGGGAAAATGTGAAATTAAAAAAATAAATACAATAATTTCACCCAATCTCGTCATTGCACTCACTTACTGGTTAATTATAACGCAAATACTGATGTGCGGTTTACGCTTGTTACTCGCCACCGGTTTATAGTTTCGGCTCGGTTGTTATGGCTCATTTGGCGGTATATTTGCCTAAAAATTTTAAAACGTTAATAAATTACTGGTTAGACGTTAGAGAAACACTTAATATAATACTAACCCATATTAATATATTTGTTTAAGCTGCAAAGTAGGTACCATAAGCCTTACGGCCCAGTGAAACTTGGGGATACGTCTCTAGAAGCCAAGTGGATGTTTGTACGTAAAACCAAATTTGATGCACCAACCCACCCCCTCCAACCACCATCACCACCACCCTCCCCACCACCAACCCACCGCCTCCAACCACCCTCCCCACCACCAACCCACCCCCCTACAACCACCCTCCCCACCACCAACCCACCCCCTCCTACCATGATGGACAGGTGGTGGTGGACAGGGTGGTGGTTGGAGGGGGTGGGTTGGTGGTGGGGAGGGTGGTGGTGATGGTGGTTGGAGGGGGTGGGTTGGTGGGGGGGAGGGTGGTGGTGATCATGGTAGGAGGGGGTGGGTTGGTGGTGGTGATGATGGTGGTTGGAGGGGCTGGGCAGGTGGGGAGGTGGTGGTGACTGTAGGGAGGGGTGGGTTGTGGGGTGGGCTGGTGGTGGGGTGGGTTGGTGGTGGGGTGGGTTGGTGGGAGGGTGGTTGAGGGGGGGGTTGGTGGGGGGGAGGGTGGTTGGAGGGGGTGGGTTGGTGCATCAAATTTGGTTTTACGTACAAACATCCAATCATGTAGTTTCAGTTCCGACATGATATTCTCCTCACACACACACACAACTTATTAACAACTACTACTTTTGAGTAATTGATGACGTCCATTTCACCGCAGAGTCCTCCACCCAATCAATACCACAGCTGAAAATACACATGCATTAGTTCTCAAATACATATAGCAGTAGAAAAGGGTTGGTGGTGGTTGGAAGGGTGGGAGGCGGGTGGGTAGGTGGTGGTGATGGTTGTGGTGGGGGGTGGGAGGTGGGAAGTAGGGGGAGTGGTGGTGGTGATGGTGGTTGTAGGGGGTGGGTTGGTGGTGGGGAGGGTGGTGGTGATGGTGGTTGGAGGGGATGGGAGGGTGGTGTGTTGGTGGTGGGGAAGGTGGTGATGGTGGTTAGAGGGGGTGGGTTGGTGGTGGTGATGGTGGTTGGAGGGGGTGGGTTGGTGGTGGTGATGGTAGTTGGAGGGGGTGGGTTGGTGGGTTTTTGTTAATTGTCATAATAATAAAAATAACATTTCCTACAAATATCCTATCAATAAATTGTTTTGACAAATGTTCTGACCATAACCTTATGTCAATGTCATAAATATATGTAGTTGCCATTTGCACTGCAGGAGGCACATGCTTTGATTCAATTTCAATCTCCTCGGCAATCTGGTCATTTCCCCCTGATGCATCACAGGCAGGTACTTGAAGATGAGCTTGCAGAAGCACTGACTAGATGTTCTTCATCTACTGGGTGACCGCGGAAGGGCTCGTAAAAATCACCAGCTAACTCGGCCCTCATCAGTGATGCTGCTTTCGGCCTTCTATATCTCTTGTTGTTATAGTTCTGAAAGTTTCATAGACAGTTGATAGTGAAGCATGAGCAATGACTGATGAGGCAGGAACATAAAAGTAAACATAAAAAACACATTAATTTTATATATAAATCAAAGATATGAAGGAAGGGAAAATTTAGTAACCTAACATCGTACATTAATAAGCATATACTGTACTAGTGTACTTACTTCCTGAATGGTGTGATCCACATGATGCCTTGATGTCACCACAAAACTACACTCACAGAGAAAATACAACTCTTTAGATCTCGCGGATGACTAAAACACAAAAGCTGATTTGCTGTACTCAACAAGTATTCACAGTCTCTCCATTTTCAGAGATTGCATTCTTATAGGTGTCCACGCCAGAGCTGAGGACTATCTTTATTCTCCCCAAACTAACGTCTTCTCTCAACTCCACCCAACAATGTCGGCTAGAGAAGATACAGAAAGGACCCTGCAGAATCATGCTAGGTGCAGAATACTCAGGCTACATCAACACTCTCTCCACCCTGGAAATGCCATCCCTCAGTGACCTCCACCATCAAGCACTGAAAAGGTTTGGCAGCCAAATAATGCACCACCCTTGTCATTGCCACCTCCTGCCACCTGCAGCCCCCAACCACCTTGCGCAGTCCGCCACTACAACAAAATTCAGCCCATAAGAGCCCGCACCAATAGCACCATCCTATCTATTGTTAAAATAATAAACAACTCCTGATTTAGGTACTGTCTAAATCAAATGTATATGTATATGTAATGCAGTGTGTAATCAAATTATCAGTTAAAAGAAACACTGAAAAATCTAACACTAAACCCGGGTTTTATCTTCTCCTAAAGTGGGATTTCAGCATCACAAAATATACATAGCTCATCCTCAGAAATAACTCATATTGGCCAATCGGGACATTCCTCAAAATCTTCCACTCTGTTTTTACCACTAAAAAACACACATTAATGATAATGCTAATAATAATAATAATAATACAGTTGTACCCCACTTAACGCGGACAATGGAACCCAGAGGGTCCCGCGTTAAGTGAACAACAGAACATATGGGATTAATTCCAATAGAAACCAGCCCGACCCCCAAACTCCACTTTTTGAAGACACATAACTATGTTGTAGTAAAAATAACATCTTAATTTTATGATGGTACATGCACACAATTAATACTTAAGAGAAATAGAGAAATACAGTCGCCAAGTTAATGTCCAGCAATGTAAATTATATTCTGGCCGGGTAATTTGTATGAATTTTATGAGCTAAAACAAATATCTTCAGTTAATAAAAAAAATAATATTCTTCAGGACACTATCTGTCAATCAAAGTACCCCACCTTGCCTTCCCCCTCTTCCAACTGCGCGCGCGGTCAGTCCCAACCCTCCCCCCCACCCCCCACCACTCCTCCCTTCAAGAGAAGAGTGGGTGAAAAAAATAAATTTTAACATTTTGTATTAAATAATACCTCAGATTAAAGTTAGGATAATATAATTGACATTGCTGGATTCCTTGTTAGACCAGGAATATTTTGAATATAAATGTCATATAATTTGCACAAAAGAGAACATATTTACTAGAGAAAACATTTTATCTAAAATTTGTATGTCTAATGCAAAATTATAAGAATTCCGGCAATGTAAATTATATTCTGACCGGGTAATTTGTAAGAATTTTATGAGCTAAAACAAATATCTTCGGTTAATAAAAAAAAAAAAAAAAATTCTTCACAGGGTAACAGATAGTCGGTCGGTCCCTCCCTCCGCCCCACCCCCCACCAACCGTCCCAAGGAGATGTGTGGGGAAACCAGAATATTTAACTTTAGTAATAAATAATACCTCAAACATGAACAAGGCATAAGAACAAATGCGGCATGTCGACATCAACTGTGTCGACAATTCTTGCACAGAAAGACATATTTAAAGAAGTGAAAGTGAGAGACAAATCTA